TCTGTAAGAGCCACACATAAATGTGAGTGCAAGCAGAGACAGGCAGCCCAGTCCCCTCCCTTCTGGGGGTAAGCTCTGGAATGTTGGATGTTAGGCATCCCTTCCTCAATCCCATTTTTATCTAATTAAGCAAATTCTTAAAGTGTGTGTTTGATAACTATGTTTTTTTTATTAACCTTCTGCTGACATGATTGCCATGTGAGGAGTTTTGCAACATGGAATGCTGGGAAGGGCAGCTGGCATTGGTGAGGAGCAGAGGCAATGCGCAGCGGAAACTCATGTGGGCATGCAGCCCAGGGCTGGCACTGGGACAAACTGGTGTCCTGGCTGCAGAGCAAGGGAGGCAGTGATCAGGTGACTGCTAGTGTAGTGAAGGGCGGGCACACTGACATCAGCATTTTTTAACATTACTGGGTACTGCTTTTTTAATGAGTTGTCATTTCCTTAGTTGTCATATACTGAGAATCTCCACATCTCTGAATTAATTCGACATTTTGGATGCTCTATGATTCTCGGCTCCACAGTTATCCACTGGGTGACAGTGACACTGGTTGTGATTGGCTGTGGCAGTGCAGTTATTGTGCCTGTGCAGTACCTCTGATCTTCCAAGAGCATCGTATCTGAGCACCAGGATGAGGTACAGGTGTGACATAAATCAGGGCATGACCCAAAGACAAATACGAAGAGGGTGATCTCTGGAACACAGCTAATGCAGGAGTACTTCCAGTGCTTAGATGATGACTAGCACAAGCAAGAGCAACTGCTGTGCTCTGTGAGATCAGCCTACAACCAGACGCCTGAATTCAGTGTTCATTGCTGACCAGACAATTTTAAACAAACTCTCCTTGTTCCAACTTCCCAGCTTTGGCATCATGTTACAATGTATTCTGATCCTTTGTCAGTGATATGGTGGATTTTTACTATAATCTGGATAATTCCAGAGGGTGGAAATACAGGTCCTTGTAGGGAATTCATTGCATCCCTGTGGATTACCTGCAAAATGCTCTCTTCAGAATAGGAGAGTAATAACTTTTGCCTTCCTCCAAAGCACAGGTCTTTTCAGTCTTCAGGTCTCTGAATGAAGTTCATGGAACTTGCTAACACCTGTATTAGAGTAGCAAGATTTTTGAGACTGTGTTGCCAGACTCCTGCTGTCCAGGATCTGGGCTCCTGTTTGGCTTTGATGTCCTCTAGACTGAGGAGGCAACAACTGTTACAGATGTGCTCACAAGTATCTGTTTCATTGTTTCATGCTACAAGAGGTGAGCACCAAACCTTCCCTAAGCTATTCTGAGCATAGGGAAGTGATGGAGCTAAAAACACACCATGATTGAAAATTTTTGTTTAAGGATGGCTAATTTTAGTAAAATTACCTGCTTTCCTTCATCTCAGAAACAACATCTCTTTTGTTATGGTTTCTCACCTTCAATAAAATTATCAGCCTGAGGCAAAGAATGAAGCATGAAGTTTAGCTCCAGTGACCGAAACTTAGGGAAAGTTGCTAGTAGAAGTATTGTTTATTGTGGAGCTTTATGGGGGTAGATAAAGTATGCCTGCAAAACAGTGAACTTGACCACTAGTCAGATTTTTCATAAGCAGTCCCACAGTTGCCTGGTTTCAAGACAAATGGAGCACAGGGAAGGCTTGGTCTGTCCGTGTGCATGTACTGTGATAGCAGAGGTTTTTTTTCTCATCATGCTCTGTTTCACCATGGTGTTACTCGCTATAATTATTTTTCCTGAGGGAACAAACTTGTGGGTTCTGATTACATGCAGGTATCCCAGATGCTCAGATTCAAAACATCTGTTTCTAGTTGTTGGCTTTAGCTGGTGTGATCCACATCGCTGAATATTTTTGTCTTCGATACAGCCAGCATCCCATCAACCCATTTTTCCTGGGCTAATTTGAAAAGCCATTTTTCACATTCTCTCTTCGGCAGATGAATCTTCAAATAGAGGTCATTATAGGACAGCTTCACAAAAAAGAGAGGACATGATTTTACAGCTAGCAATTGTTGACTAGTACCCAAGAAAAATGGATGTTTGTGGCACAGCAAAGCTAACTGCATGCATCATAAATGTAAATGCCATTAGCGGAATAGATACTTTGCATTTGGTGTGTTTTTGCAAGTCTGACCAGGATGACAAACTGTGTACATTAGTATTTCAAACTCACCTGAATAACTTGATATTGTATGGAGAAAGTGGATGTTTCTAGTCAGTCTTGCTCTCCAGAGTTGCATTTGCATTCTGTATTCTGTTTCTGGGCTGACATAGTGCCTGTGATCTGCCTGTGTGAGATCAGTGCCAGTATTGACAGTGTCTCAGTCCCAGCACATTACACACTAGTGGCACTGTGTTCATATAGTTGTGGCCCAAGTTTTATTTCTTAGTTTGTTCTATAACTAAGAATTCATCTACCTTTTCTTACATTCTTTTTTTTCAGTAACCACATTATTTGACCATCCAACACACTATCAAGGACGTGGAATGTGTGGTAATACTTTAACAGTCTTGTTTTTTGTCACTGTCTTGGTTTAAGTGCGATGAGTCCTTCCTATTTATTTGTTCATATTGTGTGAGGGTTGCAGGAGGTGTAATGTACAGAGCTTCCAGATTTGTGTTGCTACACTGTATGCTGCTCTTTCTGCTAAGTTATGTTGTATAATTTGTAGTATAGTGGTCTCAGAGGTTTGGTTATGCATTTTTGGCTCATAACTTTTTTTCGTAGCTGTCTTTTCTTCAGCATTCTCTGAAACAATGATGAGTGACTGTTGGTGCTGTTAAAATAGTCCAATTTTGCAGGTAAAGACGTGGAGAGGGTACCCTACACGTCTTCCTCCAGTGCTGCTGAAATCCCTTCTGTGGAATATGCTCAGAGAACAGTGCTGCTGGCGTATTCAGGCTGTATAATTAGTTCCCTTGTTGTGAACAATGCTTTATCTCCCTCCACAGTGCCCAGCTGCGAAACAGCGTGATTTTTTCTGGGTTTAAAGTTTGAGTGTGTTGTTCAGAGTTTGGGATTCTTGTTTGGAGACTTAACTCAGAGTTGGTTCTTCCTTCTTCAATAAAGACTTTTTAAAAGAAAAATCAAGAACAGCATGAGTCAATAGCTTGTGCCACTCCGTGTCATGGTGTGCAATTTGGAAGCTGTACTGTTCAAATTTTGATGTTTCTTTTGTTCTGGACCTTTCATTCTTGCTTGAATTTTCACACCTTTCTTTTGCCTTTGTCTTGAGGTGCCAAATACATGACCCACACAGTGACAGGGCACTGCACATTTTTGGGAACCTCAAAATCCTTCACTTTTATGTGGTGAATTGAGTTGGTGTAAAACTCACGTGCCTCTATGTTTTGTTGGTATAGCACATGTTGGTAATGTCAGGAGAAAAACCTCAGTATTTTTTAAGTGAAAAACTGCTCAAATCACTGAACTTTGCATAGGAAAGTACAGATATACCCTACTTTTCATTTTTTACAGGAGCACTGAGGAGCACTTTGAGTTCTTACTCAAGACAACACAAATGAGCAAGGGCAGGTAAAATGTTAAGATCTGGAAATTCTAATGAATGTAGAGTTAGTGTTGTACAGCTTAGATGTGTTTAACCTGTGCACCTAGACAGTTAGTAATAATGCAGCTCCACAAGATCATAAACTTATAACATTATTATTTTAGAGATATTTTTTATGAGTCAGTTGCACACAGCTTTACCATGGGCTGCGTAGATGAAGAAAATACTGTGGAGGGGAGGGTGCAATGCAATGCCAACTCTGCCTTTCACACCCACCATAGTGTGCACAGTTGAATCAAAGCCTGTGTGTATTACACATTACATATGCTTGTGCCAGTTGACAAGTAAAATACAGCAATTACCAATAACAGTATTTCAGATCACCTACACGTGCATGTGTGCCTGTGAGGACATGCTGTACAATCAATAAGCATACAGAGGTTAGGCTAAGTAGGATTATCACAGTGGACAGACAATAAATGAAAAATGCTCACCAATGTTGTAGGCTCACAATAAACTCCTCAAGGAGCAATCTCCAGAAGGAGATCCTTCCTCAGTGATAGTCAGTACTTAAATGGGATCTAGGAGAGGTGGAGCCAGGCTCCACCCCTTCCAGTACCACAACTGAATTGCCTCTACATGTGCTCCTGTGGCTGACTCACTGCTTGCCTCAGGTGGCCAATCAGAGGTTCAGGCCGCGATCAACAGTTCCCATAGACACGCATTTTTTGTTATTAAACAGACATGGATGTTTTATTATTTAATTATTAAACTTGGCTTTGTGTTATTTTGTAAAATAATAAAGTAACACATTAATTGCAGAAGAAATATCCAGAATACTTGTGTATGTCACAGTTTTAGCTGAGGCAGTGTTAAGAAAGCATCGATGTTTTGGTTGTTCCTAAGTGACTGGAGCGTACCCAGGGCTGGGCTGCTTGGTGGAAGATCTGCTACCATTATGGCATGGCAGCGGATGGAGTGAAGCCAGGATGGCTGGCTTGAATTAGGAAAAGGTTTAGTGCATATAGTGTGATACCATGCAGAAGGCTGTAAAGTTGTGTGGAGTTGACTGAGGGCAACTGCTGCATGGGAATTGGTTGGGTGTTGGTCAGGAGCTGGTGAGACACTGTGTTAATAATTGGGCTGTTGGTCAGCAAACAGTTGTATTCTTAGATGGGTGCTGGTCATCGGATGTTTTAATAAAAAATGTGAAAAAAAATACAAGATATTTTGTTACTTTTATATAACTATATTACGTATTTTATTTACAGCCCAAGACAATTCCTCTGCACTGAGTGTGGTCCATGCGAGCCAAAACGTTGGACACCCATGATTTAATCCAGGGGAGTTTGTAAATAGTGCTAATCTCTGAGAATTCAAGGTTATTTTCTGCCACAGCAGATACGCGTTTCCTGCTCTTCAAACATTACAAGTTCAGTATGAAAAATATATATCTAATGCACAGATCAATTTGCTTTTTATCTCCTAGGACTGCCTTAAAGCTTGTCAAGAACAGATTGAGTCGGTGCTAATAAGCAACCTTAGGCAAGTCCGGCAGCAACAACAAAGCAATCCTTCTAAGACCGTTGAGGAACTGGACCAGGCCAGCACTCCCACAGATGTGAGAGATATCAACCTGTGAGGACATCAGCACAGAAAGTCAGGCTTGTTCTCCCACCCCTTTTATTTTTGTTACTATTCTTAGATTTATTTTTTTTTTTTTTTCATCTACTCCCACGTAGAGCGTATGTAAAGCTCTTTTAGGTGAAAAAAACTGAATAATGAAAAAAGCATTTGGTGCCCATGATGTTCTACAGAAGGGAATCCCGCAGTGTATTTGGTAATTGTTATTTGATTATGTATCATTGATATTAAATGCTTATAAAAGCATACAATAGCTAGATAAATGTAAGCCTGCATTTGTGGGAAGAGAGTATACTTGTCTGTGTATTACAACTTACTGCATACACCCCTTTTTTAGATTTAAGAAAGGAACTGTGTGTGCAATTTTATGGCTTGACTAGATTTCAAAGCAGTAGAAGAAGGGCTAGGACAATGTGGGAAAAGGTCCCTGAAGCAACTGAACCATTTTCAATGCAGAAGAGATTTGCTGATCTGTCACCTCTGTTAGTAGTCAGAAGTGTTTGTTGGATCTTTGTATGTTAGTTTTGTTTACTCTTGCTGTCTATGGTAGCTGCTACTCAAGAAAGATGTTCTATTTTGCCAGCTAGAAAAGAAGGTGTTTTTTTGTTTTGTTTTGCTTTAAATTCCCCTCTCCCCTATGACTATTTCTACTTCTCCTTCAGAAATGGTTCATTCTAAACACAGCAGCATCTTTGGCATGAGGGCAATCCCTTCTACCCAACTGTGGGCCAAGCTGAAGTTATAGAGTACTCACGGTAAATGAGGGAAATGCAACAAATAATTTTGACAGTCGGCTAATCAGACCGCCTCCAAACTTTGGATATCAAGATGCAGTGGATCCTCTGTGAAAAAGCATTATGTTCCTTTACAGAGATAATGTTTCACATCCATGTTAACTTTTGGCAGCTCTTCAGCTTCGTGTAAAGATAATTAAATGATGCTGTGTCCATTTTCCTCTTTAACGTATACTCACTGTGTTAAAGAAGGTGAGATTTGGTGTGAGACCTATCTACCCAGCTTCCTCCACTGCCCCGTCATGCTTTTTGAGCATTTCAGTAACTTTACTGATCCACAGTGAACATTATTATAAATCATTTCATTCAAAAAGCACTTTGAAAATTGTTCGTAAGGGATTAAATGAAATGGTTTATGACATTTTTGCCAAGGAAAAAAAAAAAAAAAAGGAAAAGAAAAAAGACACAAAAGCAAAGCATATAGCTTTTTATAGTCAATATTCTCCAGTATCTGGTGTACTTTTTTTAGTTGTGGTGTTTCTGGAAATACCAACACCTGCTTCAGGTGAGATTCCCGTCATGACATTCCGGATAAAAGCCTCATGATTTGTATTGTTCAGTGTCACAGAAGGATCTGAATACCACCAGTATGTTATCCATGGACAATGAAAGAAAATTTGCTGGTGCAAAAGATATAAGTGGTGAACGTTGAGGTTTGAGAGTTGGATTTTAATTACAAAGGTGTATTCAGTGTACTTGAATTTATTTTTCTGCTCCATCTGTAAAGAAGAGGCAGTTAGTTGGCAAAGAAGTTGGAGCAATTTTTTTTTTTTTTTTTTTTTTTTTTGCACGATTGTATTAACAGTTTGCAAATATACAGAATGAAGTTGTTGGTTGCAATGTTAATGGTTGCAATGTTCAGACAAAGTCCAGAAAGAACATGCTACTTTGAAGAATATTATATGAATGGACTCAGCTGCATTTGGCTAGATGAGGGTAGAAGATGGAGTAAAGTTTTGGTTATTTGTTTGGGTGGTTGTTTTTTTTTTTGTGCGCTGCTAAGAAGCTATGATTTGTTTCATTCTTATTCACATTAACAGTACTTAGCTGTATTGTTTCACTGAGTGTGCTGCTATTTTATAAACGTTTTTATAATATATTATTTTACTGCTTAAATTTCAAATCCTTGAAGTAGATGGTTAAGTGGAGATATGATGAATTCTGTGATTTACTGGAAATGCCCTGTACAGGTTGGGTTGTTTTGTTTTTTTTTCCTAATAGCTGTTTCATGATTTATTTTTATTTTTACTTCCTTTTTTTCTTTCTTTTTCTTTTCCTTCCTGATCACATCCTTCAAAGATGGTATACTTACCTCAGGTTTACTGGACAAGATAAAAATGGTTCCCATTTTCACAATACCTCACAACATGACAGTTACTTATTCCCTGCTGAAGGCCTCAGCAGAGCTATCGGTGCAAGTGGCTGCTTAGGGCCTGTGCTTTGGTCAGTGGAACACAGTTGCACCAGCTGTGTTGGGGAAAAATTGCAGCAAGCAGGGGCATTGGCTCCCTTATGGTCTTTCATAGTGGAAAAAATGCACTGGTTCAAGGGCATATCCAGGAGCACCTCTTGTGCCTCCAGACCCTAATCATGGACGCGTGGATGATGTGTGTGGTAGCTACATGTCTCCCTCTGGGCACTCCAGCCCCTTGAGGTGCCCACACAAGCACAGGTAATGCCTGACTCCCACAGGCTTAACAGCTTAGCAGCAGGATGGCCGCCAGCATGGCCGCACTCGGAGTCTTGCTGTTCAGAACAGCCAGCTCTGCCTCACAGCCCGTGTGAACAACCTGGCCCAGCTGCCTACTGTGCCTCAGTGGTCAAGTGTCAGCACTCTCCATATCCTCTCTGAGCCCTGAGCCATAGTGCTCAAAACTGCTGCTCTGTGTGCAGAAGTCTCCATCTTGTAAAGAGCCAACAATAACTGCTCTTAGTGAGGCTTGAGGGCTCAAGTGCTCTTCCCCCAAGTGGCTTCAGGGCCACAGCAGCTATAGGGATGGGCATAATACCTCACAGCCTGCAAGAGCAGGTTTCAAACAGCTGTGTTGCTGAAAAATGGTAACTGGATGGTTTTGTTCTGACAGTGGCTTTTCACACTGAAAGCACATAAAATTCAGCAACTGCATCACTCTTAAATGAAAGATATTTAATTTTTGGAAGCATTGTGATTAGGAAGACTCCAAAGCCACATGCAGCACACGCATGAGGTAATATTCCCTGACAGATCAGATCAGTCTCTGGCAGCTTTTGCATGCACAAGTTTTTGTGCTAATGCTTAATGGAAAAGCATTCAGACTGTGGGCAAAATGTTGCCTTTTAGCACGGCTGCACATAAAAAGCATGGGCATAAGAGCACTGTAAGCGTTGCACTTACATGCTCTGCTCTTCTCAGTTCTGCTGCGCAGTGTGGCTGAGTATAGACAGGAGAAATAGCTGTGAGAACTGCCCTGCTCTTGACAATTACATGAAGTTTTCTGCCATTTTTAATGTGCCATCAGGATGTTGTAGGCTGTTGTAGTGGAAACACAGCCAAGTCAGTGGACTGAGGTGCATGCTTTTTTGCCCTGACAGGTGTACTTGCATGCAGGGAATGAAGGCTGGCCCCATGTTCTGCAGTGTCCTTGTCCACCACATGGCTCCCCATTGAGGCTTCTGTCTGCTGTGTCTGGCCATGCATGGACTGTACATTCATGGTTTCATAGATTTCACTAGAAATATTTGTAAGTGTTGTGGCTCTCACACCTCACTGCAGCTGCAGGGGCAAGTAGTAGGCACAAGATTTGGTTTGGAAGCAACAGCACCTTGCAGGCTCTTGTGCAGCGGAGACTTGTCCACCGCAGAGCGGGCTCATGCAACCACTGTGAGTGTTGGGAGCATCATCCACTGCGTGGCATTCTTTATAAGAATGCGACATACTTGTAAAGAACATGAATAGTTTCACAGGAGCATTCATAACAAAAATATTCCGTAGTGCCCCTTTTAGAAGATGTTAACAAAAAATACTGCTATTGCAAATGAGATGTATGATTTTTTCTCTGAATTGCAGATATCATAAAAGTTTCCTGTGGGTTAATTAAAAAAAAACAACTACTGCTGATGTGCCAGATGACTGGCCTAACTGAGTAAAGCATTTGTCTCTCAGCTATTTGTTGTTGGTATTTTGATCTTCTCCCTCCAATGAATGTAGAGTAGGAGCACCTCATAATCAATTTATTTGTATTACCAACATGCTCATAAAAAAGAAAAATAGTATATTAGATATTTATTTCAGTGATTTATGTGCATGTCTCTTAAATACTCAGTGAACCACATGGCCACTGGATTTTTTCCACTATGTTCATTAGTATTTTCTCATGTACCTCAGAAATCACTCTCAGTTGCACAGTTCCTGTTCTCAAGCTCTTTTTTCTTTTTTTGCTTTAATGAGTGTGATGAAATATCAAGTCAGCTATTCTCTCACAATATGTTCTTTAAGAGATATGGATGTTTATATGGTCAGGGAATGCTAGGAAGTGTGGTAGTAGACATGATCAGCGTAAACAAAAGTATTTAGAAAGTATATGAGATTATTTTGGATGGATAAGACTCTGATACAGTATAGTCTTGATTACCTTTTAAAAGGTCTTTTCTGTTCAGTGTTGTCCTTTTTATTAATAATCTGTTGTTTTGACTAGTTTAAAGATGGTTTTAAGAAAAGTGTTCTGGCAGAATTAGGTATGCTGTATAGACAATAAACTCACCTTGACCTAAATTTGCGTGTCTTGTTTTTATTCAGTGTGCAAAAGACAATGTGATTCTACAGCTTTTTATCTAGATAGATCACGTTACCAGATGTATAAAAGGAGAACTGTTGAATTTTGCAGTCACAGAAGTTTTCTTCTAGAACATCATTTATCATTAATAGGCAAATTCTGATGTGTTTCTTCTGTGAAAAGATCCAGTGAGATTTAAGGAGAACAAAGTCCTAAAAATGATAAGCTTCTAGATTAAAATATTTCTTGGAAATGAAAATGAACTGGTAGAAAAGTCCTTGTAGGTACATGTGAGTGCGCATTTTTGCAACCAATTTAAATTTTATTTAATCTCCAATCATCTGTTGTATTTAAAAGTCAGCTGTAACATTCTGCAGTTTTTCTTACTATAAGCTTTGAGCAAATGGTGATTGAAAGGAAAGGGTTTTATGGTGAAGCTGGTGAAGCCAATGGGAAGAAATGACCCTCTGTGCATCCAGACTTCTTGCTTAGTCTGTGATCAGGAGACAGGACAGTAACTCTCTCCCAGTTCTGTGTTTCATGCAAATGCACACGTGATGCTTGTGGCTTGAAATCAGTATCTCCTGCTTCACAACACTGTAAGAAGGCACTGCCTCTTTTCTACTGCATTTAAGGCTTTTGAATGCACTTTGATAGAGCAAAGAGGCACTGAAGAATGAAACTGTTTTGGCATGGAAGAAAAGTAATACCATCATAAACTGAATAATACTACAGATAAAAATAGACAAGTGAAGTGAAAGAAAATGAAGAAAAAAAAATATATTGAAAAAGGAGAATAAAAAATACTTAGAGGAAGAGAACATGTTCCTAAAATGAAAAAACATAGGACTAAAAAAATATGCATGAACAAATAGAAGAAAAATAATTGATGGGATGGGAAATATGATGTAAATAATGATGTCTGAGTCAGGAGATACAGACTTTTGTAGTAAAAATCACGCAAAATTGGAGCTGTGGATTCAGGCAAGGTCTTCTGAAAATTTCCTGAAAGTGACTCTAAGCCTTTCATTTTACCAGTTACCAAATATAGAGCTTTTAAAGCATAATGAGTTATCGTTTTCCTCTGGTCACCACTTCAACGTAATTAGCAACCTACAGCATTTCATAGACATAACTAAGAGTCAACTGAAATACGTAAGGATTGATCTTTCAACTTCCATTTGTAATTTAAAGCTCAAGAGATGCCCAATGACCTAATTTCAGGTCTTGTAGATCCAATTCTTTTCCCTCTGTACTGTTCAGTAGTCTACTGAAGCTTCAGTGATATGCTCTGCAGTTATGTGTTTTAAAGAAGTTTTACTAAATCTAGATTTAACAGAAAAGAGATTTTCTGTTGTAGCTTAAATAAACATGTTGAAAATGAGCTACTGGATATAGTGTGCAGAATTTAAAACTCAAATTAATTGGACAAAAGCCTAATTGTTTTCTATAGAGAAAGCTGGCTGAATGCCAAGAAGCCACACCTGATAGGATTAAGTTCCATTATATGCCTGGTGTGTGTCATAGTCTTCTTACCATCAGTAAACAATTTCTTACATGATGATCCTATATGTCAGGGTGGAGGCCAGTCACAAGCAATGTCCCTCAGGAGTCGATCTTGGGACCAGTGATCTTCAGCATCTTCATCAGTGACATAGATGATGGCATCGAGTGCACCCTCAGCAAGTCTGCGGATGAAACCAAGCTGAGAGGTGCAGTCGATACATTGGAAGGAAGGGAAGCCATACAGAGGGTCCATGAAGTGGGCCCATGAAAACCTAATGAGGTTCAGTAAGGCCAAGCGCAGGGTGCTGCACTTTGTTCAGGGCAATCCCAGGTGCTTATACAAACTGGGGGAAGATCTCCTTGAGAGCAGCCCTGTAGAGAAGGACCTGGGGATCCTGGTGGATGAGAAGCTGGACATGAACCAGTAGTGTGTGCTTGCATCCCAGAAGGCCAGCTGTGTTCTGGTCTGCATTAAAAAAGGGGTGGCCAGCAGGGAGAGGGAGGTGATTGTCCCCCTCTACTCAGCCCTTGTGAGGCACCATCTGCAGTACTGCGTCCAGGCCTGGGGCCCCCAGTACAGGAAGGACGTGGAGCTTTTGGAGCAGGTCCAAAGGAGGGCCACTAAGATGACCAGAGGGCTGGAGCAGCTCTCCTATGAGGAAAGGTTGAGGGAACTGGGATTGTTTAGCTTGGAGAAGAGAAGGCTCCAGGGAGACCTCACTATGGCCTTCCAGTGCTTGAAGGAGCTTATAAATAGGAGGGGGAACGGCTGTTTAGGAGGGTAGATAGTGATAGGACAAGGGGAAATAAACTTAGACAGAAGGTTTAGGTTAGATATTAGGAGGAAGTTTTTCACAAAGAGGTTGGTGACACACTGAACAGGTTGCCCAAGGAGGTTGTGGATGTCCCATCCCTGGAGGCACAAAGCCAGGCTGGATGTGGCTCTGGGCAGCCTGGTCTGCTGGTTGGCAATCCTGCACATAGCAGGGGGGTTGAAACTCGATGATCATTTTGGTCCTTCCAACCCAGGCCATTCTATGATTCTATGTTACATGAGGGCAGCCTGAAGACTTTAAGGAGCAGCAACATAGCAAAATCATGCTCTAAAACAACTACATGCTAGACTGACTTTTGTGTTTAAGAAAATTACGAAGGCAAAGGAAAGAAAGATTTAGTATTGAGATTTCGGGGGAAAAAAAAACAAAGCAATTCCTCAGTGTTTCCAATCTCAGCATATGAATTAGATTGTTAATTTTCTTTTCAGAAATCTTTCTAAAGGGACTGCAAATGTAATGTCTTTCTAAATACAGAGTTTAGCTTCATGTTTCAAAGATACCCTTCATGCTTGTTTCAGAAGTCTTTTCAAACACTTCTGTTGCAATTATTATTTTTAAATGTATTGAATTATGTTACGACTCTTCATTCTACACTGCTCTAAAGAAGTAAAAAACTCTACAAGTCTAATGCAACCAGTACTAGCAGAACTAAATTCTATCCCTGCTAAAGGCTATGGGAACTCCACTGTTGAATTTTAATAGGTATATAATTTTCTCACTAACTTCAGTTCATTTGTGCCTTGTACTGTAAATTAACAGTCACATCAGTAAATGCAAAACTGTTGTGAAAGCAATTAGAATCTCTGGTAAGTCTCACCAAGTCATTTTTTTCAATAGAAAACATTAGGATCTAAGTTCTGAGAGTTGTGAACTACATCTTTTGTCAATGACAATCTAGATAGAAAGATAGAACATGCATAGAGAAGAAACAGGTTAGGATAGAGTATAGTCTTGTTTATGCATCTGACTTGCTGATAGTTTGCATGTTTACAGTCACTTGCAGCCATAAATACAGAGTAGTTTCTAGAGAAATTATCACAGAATCACAGAATGGCCAGGGTTGGAAGGGACCTGAAGAATCATGAATCTCCAACCCCCCTGCCACATGCAGGGCCACCAACCTCCACATTTAATACTTAGACCATTATATTAAAGCCTTCTCTGTACTACTTTGCACATCACAGCCAGACCACTAGCACTAAGGGAAACAGACTAGGCTCTCATACTTCCACAGCACATTTCTTCCAGTTAGATGAAAGTTTCTTCTAAAAAAATCTTGGTGGTCCCTTTACATTTTTTGGAGAAAGCTGGCTGTACCATGCTTATTCTGCACCTCCCTGAAATACTAAAAGAAATAATCTCCCCCCCCCCCCCCCCCCCACACACACACACACAAAATTTTAATGTTTCTTAATATCATATATTTTAAAGTATCTTCAGAGAGAATTTACATTTCATCTATGTGCAGCTGCAAGGGCACAAGTACACAACATTTTTACAGAGTGAAGGGCAAGTGATCTTACTGTCACTACTGGCCAGGGGGAAATGGTGAAAACTGGTGAGATCTTACTATAGGCACATGCCAAGAAGAATGCTCAGTATGGGCTTCAGGTGCACTGTGGCTACTGCCTGCCCAGAGCTGAGTGTCTAAGGAAAGGTAACTGTTGGTAGCAGATACATTAAGCTAAGAACTATTAAGATGTAAGTAAAAGCTGGGAAACTTCTCACTAAGAGCTGTGTATGTAATATGTAGGGCAAAGAGGAGCTGCTCTGTGTTCTGCTGCAGCCTACTACAGAATTGAGCTGATGCACAGTGTAGTAAATAAGAAGAAAAAAAGGGAAAATGTATCCTTAAACGTCTGCACTCCTACGGAAATGATGTGCTGATAGCTCTGTATTACTAATGATTTTTCCCTAAAAATAAACTGGGATGTGATTTTAGTTTTTTCAAAATGTAACATGCAAAAACTACTGAAGAATTAGGACAGACCAGTGAAGGAGAAAGGTCATCTGACCATGTTTGGGATTAGAGTTGCTCAGAGTATTTGCTAATGCTTCTTAGAGCAAGATCTGTAGTTTTTCTGGCTGGAATCAGAGATTACCTGAAGAGCAAAAGATTGCCCTTTCTGATTATTAGGTTTTTCAGCAGCTGAGCAGAATTGTGAATAGGACAAAATCTGCTGGAGGATAAGCAATGAATGTGGTACTTGTTATCCTGCACACCCAAACAGTAGTTTCCCTCTGTTTTCCCAGCTTCCTCATGGTCAACCTCTTTGCCTCACTGAAAAGATTCCTATTTCAGTTTCTCTGGGTTTGCTTCTTACACATGGTATTCAACGTACTGGAGTGCCCTGACAGTACTATGTGTTTTCCCAAGTTTAGTTATTAAGACTTGGCCTTACAAAACAGAAATTTGCAACAGAAATCTGTAAAATTTGGATGTGATTATCCTTGATAGCTAGCAGCACCAGAGCAAAAGATTAAATATATAACACAAGTAACACAGAGAACTGAAATGAGAACCTGACTTGAACTGTGAAACCTGAGGGTGCATATTTCCTGAGGGCCACTAGATGACAGTAACGTAACTGACAGCTGCAACTACTCTTGGAGCTCCTGGAGGAAATGGTGGGGGTTTAACAGACTTCTGGAAAGCAAAGTGTTTACCTGAAACATCTCTCTTAACCTAAAGCTCACCTGAACACTTTCATCAGACAGAGAGCATGCAACCATGGCCTGAGCTTCCACAGTTCAAGGTCTGTGCAAATTAGCTTGGAGTGCTGTTGAAGAAGTGCTGAAGGTTTTCTGTTTAGCAGAACAGTCACACAGGCCCGCAGCTGGTATATCACAATTAAAGCCATGTAAAAATAATCAAACACATTCCTAAAAGCAATTAACATATGAGGGCTGCTCCCATTACATCAGAGGCAGATGGTGGTGAGATAGCAGTGGAGACTGAACCTTCCCACCAGTATTCCATTAAATTTTGTTGTCATGTAATGGATGACAGCAGAGGAGCAACCTGATATTATTACGTTTAACATGGATTTGTGTATAAATCAAAGAATGTAACTGAATTTCTCCATGCAGAAAGAAATGTATCCATTGACATTCACTGATGCTTACTGAATGTTTACAGAAACCAAACAGTGGATGTTAGCACAGTGAGGTGGTGGGTGGTGCATTTCTGCAGTGGTAACAGTGGCAGTGGGTCACCTCCTCTAGTCCAGATTTTTGTGAGTGCAACATGCAGGCTTTTGTTCACTGCTGATCAAAATGCATAGATAATGGTGGTAGCTATGTTGAAAAGTAGTGTTTTGTAGCTCTATTAATACTGTTATTGTACTCTTGGTTGGCATTTCCATGGAAATAAATGGTTACTGTAGTTACTGTAAAGTTATTACATAACCATGTACTTAACTTGTCAACTTTGAAAACTGGCTAGAGCAGTAGTCTCTGTGCTAGGACTTGACCAAGTCACAAACTTTTTCATACCAGCAGATCCTTGGCAAGATTATTAGGAAGGAAGAGGATAAAATCAGCGGAGGTTTCTGCACAGGTGGCGCCCTTATAAGATCAGGATGCAAGATCAGAACCCAAAATGAAGAGGGAATACAGAGAATACAGCCCAGCTGATGATATCTGTTTCGCATTTCTAGTAGCAAGCTGTTATTCCAGAGGGATAACTTTCCCTGGATTGCCAATATTGTCTAATGTTAGTGTTATACAATCCACATGATAATGATTTAAGTATATAGTCAACACTGTTGAAATTTATTTATTTTTTATTTTTATTTATTAAGTTACCCATTAAAAAAAAAATTTACAGCTCCACAAAATATTTTTCTTCCTAAGATAATTTTCTCAAAATACTATTCCTCATTTGATAAGCTACTTTGCTTGTTTTAGCAGTTATGCTTTATAAACATTTTGTTTCACTGGGTCAGTTTAGAACACAGGCCCATAATCACAGAATGACATGATGTGCTACAGCAGATTTGAGAAACAACTGAAGAGGAAAAAATAAAAAATAAGAAAGGTAAAACAAGAAGCAAAAAATATACAGGCTGTAAAGATGAAGAAGATGTCAACAAAAAGAAGATGATTAAACAATGGAAAAGAAAACGTGAATTATTTATAATGGTGAAACAACAGAAATAGGTCGGAGCTGACTCATTTGGCATTGGATCATTCAGAGGCTAGACATGTCACTAATTTCACCCACTGAAAATGTCAGTTCTGAGACACAGGTTATGCCACAGTACTAAGGAAAGATAAAAGGGAAGTGAAACAGACCCGCTGCTGTATTAAGTATCTATCAGGTGGTTTAAGGTGTTAGAAAATGGAAACTATAGTCTTCAATTATATATATATATATGTAATTATATACATGTATATATTCAATTATATACTTTTTGTGTGTGTGTGTTAAAAAAATTTCAAAGTTAGGTCAGATCTCTGGCAACCCAGAATCATTTGTCAAAACTCATTTATTCTACTATGTTGTGAAATTCTATTGCAAAACACTCAGCTGTCTGACCAACTAATATTACGGCTAATTAGACTGTCTGTAAACCATAAAGCTTCAGATTTCTGAAGGGAAAATGATTATCTTTGGTTGCCTCTTCTGTTACTTTGTCATTTTACCAGCAGTTAGGTCATCGTTCAGTGTTAAAGAATACATCCTCTCTATAGACCTTGCAGGTTGCCAAGATACAGTTGGCCCAGAAAGTATACTAGGGAGCAGAGCTGATTTATTCTATGTAGCTCAGATGCCAGCTTTAATCTTGAGTTACCAAACATCACTGTGATATGCATCATGTGTGAGACATTCCTTGCAGGCGGTAAGTAGGTGAGTGGGATTGTTCAGTTTAGTTTCCTTTTCACTCTGCTTCTCTCCCCAGTTGCTCTTCATCCAAGAATGGTGATGGCTGCAGAGCAAAGCTGGTCTTCCTCCAATCTGCAGCAGTCCCACCAATCTTCCATCTGTACTGAAAAGATTTGGGTAAATAGGATCAGAAGAAGATCACATTCTGCCTCATTTTTCAGAAAAGGCATGAAGGCTCGGGATTGCATAAAAACAGATGGCCAGCAGGACCATCCAGCAGGAGGGAGTTCATTCTCCCTCTCTATTCAGTTCTAAGGAATCAGAGTACTGTGTTCAGTTCTGGGCTTTCTAAGCACCTTTTCTAAGGTGTGGTGCAGCCCACATCTCCATTATATGATGGACCCACCACCACATAAGCTGGAGTTTCTCCCCCAGCATGCTTTCTTCTGCCAAACAATGGGTGAACCTCCACTGGTACCCACAGCCTCTGCCAAATATTCTGACACTGAAAGCATGCACTTCTTCTTCCAGTGTATCCCAGCATGTGGGAAAAGGCCACTGTGAAAGCAGGACAGGTGATTCCGTGCCTGAGCATGTGCTTATCCTTGCAATGAGCTTTTGGAATGGAGGCACTCAGCTGTCAAAAATGTTCCTACAGAAAATGTTCTGGCAGTTGCCAAAGTAGAGGGGCTTTTTAAAATACAGTTACTTTTATTTGCGTGTGTGAAAGAAACTGCCTGCTTCCCAGAAGCAGCAGCATGCCCCCAGCACACCTTAGCACCGCGGCGGCGCGCAGAAGCCCGCAACGTTCATGCAGGGCCGCGTGCTCCCGGCCGCTGAGGGGAGGTGCGGCGGCAGCTGCCCTGTGACGTCACCGCCGGGCGCGGGGCGGGCGTTGCAGCGCAGACCGAAGGAGTCGACAGCGGGGCCTGTGCCCAGCTGCGTGGCTGTGCCATGGTTCGCTTCGGGCTGACCGTCGTCCGCCAGTGAGTACCGCCGCTGCACCGTGCTCCTTGGGTTCTTCCGCTATGGGAGCGACCGAGTGCTCTTGCCCTTCCCTTGCCCTTGCGCTGTCTACCCTCACCCATCCGCCGCTGGTGCCAGCGCGCACCGTGACGTTAACGGACTTCCGCCCTTCTCCCCACGGGCGGTCCGTTTCCTGTGGCGGGGCTCCCCCATGGAGTGCCGGTTGGGGCCGTTATCTGACCACGGGGCGGCGTGGCCCGGTGCCGCAGCGCGCCGGGTTGGGGCCGGACGCCAGGCATCCCTTGTCTCCTTCGGCGCTGCCTCACGTAAAGAACGGTCCCCCGGGACAAAGCGCTGTGCGCGGGCGCTGGAGACCCTCTTTCAGCGCTGATCCGCCTGCTGTCAGCAGTGCCGCTCTGCTAGAACGCTGCGAAGGTGTGGAGCTGCACTAGTTTAGCAGTGTCACCAGAAAGCAGAGCCAGTGCCTGGCTCGTGAGGAAGGTGTGGTACCAGTGCTCCGAGCTCTGCCGGTGTGCCTGCTTGGCTGCGGTGTCTCAGGGAACCGCTTGACCCAGACGGGCCGTTTGCCTCTGGTGGTATTAGCATTCACTGCGTGCACGAATCTGGTCTGGTATGCTGTAGTTTACTGTTGAGTCAAGCTGGGTCAGAACAGTATTGAGAGAAGTACAGCATCACACCTAAATTTAGTCAGCACTGTTTGTGAACTCTGTGGTGATTGGTCATAAGCCCTTTCTCCTGCCAAAAGGTCTCAGATGAACTCTTCACACTCGGGGTGAAGAGTTCATTTAGGATTGGTAGTCTAACCTTTCTTATGTGAAATGGCATTGGTGACTTCTTTGGAATTGTTAGTTTCAAGCTTCAACAGGATATTCCCAGAGACCTGTGGTTAACAAGAATAAGCCTCTCAAATTTTCTCAGATTGATAGCAATTAACAGTTTAATTTTTATTAAACATGTTTTTACTCTTAATCATAATACAGGTTAATATTTGATTAGAGCAGGGAGCAATGACTTTTTTTTTTTTCCTCTAATCATCCTCCTTTTAAGAGTTACTCTTCCCTTAAAGACCTGTATCTAAAGACTTGATGTTCAAGTTACAGCCTTTTATATCAGCTAGAAAGCATGAAGGCCTGACACAGTTTGTTAAACTTGAGATCTTCAGCTAGGATCTAGCAGGCACTCTGGAATTAATTAACTCATCAGAAAATGTGTTAGACTCCACTTGTGTATGCTATGCTGCTTAAGAAACAGCAAATATTGCTCTTCTCCACCCCCTAATTGATGACCAACAGGAAGGACTCTATCCAGCCTGCTGCATTTTCCTCAGCAGACCAAAAGTAGCTGCCAGAGTCTGGGGAGAGTTTGAAAGATTAAATTGCTGCCGTGTGTGCTGGAAAGAGTTTAAAACGTGTTGTAAAATGCAGTGTTCTCCCTTAGAAGTACTTGCTTTCTGTGTTTGGTTATCTATTTGAAGCTCATCTTGAGTTTTGCCCAGCAGTGCTGATAAATATTTGAAAAGCAAGCAGCATGCTTGGCACTCAGTGCTGCAAAAACTTAAGCAATTGACATTTCACTCAGGTGAGATGTCTTGACAAAGCATGCTTGACTTTGTTTAAGTTTTTCCTTCTAAATCTGTATGCAGTTTTACTTGTTCTTCTCCTGGAAAAAAAAAAAATAATAATTTAAAATGTTCAAGACAAAATATTCTGATTTCCAAAGCACTCCAATTATTATCAGATTTTGTAGTTCAGGCTGTCAGCAGTGAAGTTGATGGGAGAAGCCTGAGAACTATCAGAAGGTACTTCAGGGCACTGGGGCTATTAGTTGGAGGAGTGGGAGTCTAGGTGGTATTCTCGGTCCCTTCAGTAGCAGTGAAAAATACTGAAAGGAACAGGAAAATCCATCCAATCAAGGTATGGCTAACAGCTGGTGCTATTGGAGGAACTTTGTTTTGTTTTTTATCATGGGGTGGTTTATTCAGCACCATGCCTGCTGGTGACATTTGGAGTTCACCTGTTTCAAGGGATACTAGCCCAGGAGTTGTTGGGAAACTGTAATGGTTCAGTCTGGTTCTGTAACAAGGGGGTAAGGGGACCCAAAGATCCACAGCCCAGGAAGGTATGGGGAAGGAAAGGGAAAAGGTATGGAGATGGGCCTGAATGAGAAAAAAACAGCAGCAATGAGCTAAAGGAAAAAAACAAAAACAAAAAAAACCTTAATTTACTAAGTGTAGTAGCAGAATGTGAGATAACATGTTATAATACAGTATGATTTAAATTGAAGCTAATAAAGTAATATGTAAAAGAGGGAGAGTTTCCAAAACCAAAGTCTTTAAAGCTGTAGGCAAAGTGGCCGGAGAGCACAGAGGAAAGTCTCATGACTTTATCTGCTGTACATTTCCCTCTGAATGGAAAACGGAAATGGAAAAATGAGCTCTTCTGGAAGTTGTAGTTCATGCTTCTCTTTTGAGACCAGGAAATTGGAAATGTAAAAAATCCTTGGAGCTGCAGCATTATTCTTTAAATCCCAGTGCACTGCATGATGTTATGATGTGGAATACCGATAGAAAACCATTACATGAAACCATGACAGGAACACTGAGAGGGCTTTAAGTAAGATTCAAAGGAGGAAGGGGATAAAACCAGACTCACTAGAGATGAGTCTAGGGGCAGCATGTCAGGGTTGGAGGGGTGAGACTGTTAACCCACCTGAAGTACACTTACTCTGCTGGCAATAAACTGTAAGGTGGCACATCACAATCAGAGGGGCTGCATGCTAGTGAGATCCGTCAGTCTGCTCTACTTGGCTCAATGAAGCAATCTGAAATGTTTTTCCACCAATGCACACTGCATAAAGAACAAGCTGAGGAGAACTATAAGCCTTGGGCTCAGTCGCAGAGCTACAACATCATTGGTGTAAGTGAAACTTGCTGGGAAGAGTCCTCTGACTGTTATGCTGTGGTGGATGACTACATACTTTCTAGAAGAGACAGGCAGAGCAGGAGTGGAAGGGAAGTGGCACTGTATTTAACAGAGGGGCCAAACTGTATGGAGCTGTCAGTTGGTGGTGAAACAGTTGAGAGCCTCAGCCAGGATGACAACACTGATTGATTATTCTTTGAGGAACTAAGAGAGACATCTATATCAACCCCTCTTGTCATTATGGGAGGCTTCAAATTACCAGATGTTAACTGGGAGCACTGCACAGCTGATACAAGCAGGTCCAGTAGATTCCTAAAACACCTCAATGACAACTTCATGCTACAGGTGCTAAGGGATCCATTGAGGAAGGTTGCCCTCCTAGGTCTGTTGCTTCTGAACAGAGAAGGTCTCATGATTGAAATGGCAATTGGTGACTGTCTTGGCCATAGTGACCATAATCAAATTTAAAATCCTTGGTGGTAATAGGAGAACTGCCACCAAAACCTCAACCCTTGATACGAGGAGAGCAGATTTCAGGCTGCTCAGGGAACTAGTTAGTAAGGTCTCCTGGGAAACTTCTTTTGAAAGGGTATTTTTTAAGTACCACCTCAGTTGAAGTTGGCCAAAACTGTGAGGGAAAATAAAAAGATTTTTTTTTTTTAAAATATGCTAGCAACAAAAGGAGGGCCAGAAAGAATATTGGTGAGAATGGTCACATTACAAACAGGAACACAGACTAAGAAAACACTTCCAAGACGTTCTTTGCCTCTGTCTTCAACACTGATGATAGGTTCTAGTTCCCCAAGTGCCCCAAGTCAAAAGACTATGACTGCAATAACAGCCAACTCCCAGACAGCCCTGAGCTTATACAGGATTTGCTGCTACACCTGAATGAATGTAAGTCCACAGGGCCCAATGGGATTCATTCCTGGGTACTCCCTTAATTATTTTTCAATAGTCTTGGGAATGTGGAGAGGTACCAGTTGACTGGAAGCTGCAAACATTCCAATTTTCAGGAAGGGCAAGAAAGACCTTGATGATTATAGGCCTGTCAGTCTCACTTCAGTGGCTGGTAAAATTATGGAGAAAAATGTTCTAGAGCTACTGAAGAACGCCTGAAGGACAGTGAAGTCATTGATTGCAGCTGAGACAGGTTCATGAGGGGAACATCCTGTTTAACTAAGTTTCCTTTTATGACAGGGTCATCCATGTAGTTGATCATGGGAAGCCAGCTGACATTGGGAAGTTGTTGATGGCAGTTGATGGAAAGCCATCTTTTTTGGCTTTCACTAAAGCTTCCAGTACTGTTTCTCTCAGTATCCTTCTGGACAAGATGTTCAGCATGCAGCTAAACAAAAACATAATGAAAAATTGGCTGATGATTTGGGTCCAAAGGGTTAGAGTAAACAGTTGACTCGCAGCCAGTCACTAGTGGGGATCCCCATTTCAGAGCAAGTTCTCTTCAGGAGGCTTTCATAAACAACTCAGATGTAGGACCAAAAGGTGTTTTGAGCAAGCGTGCTGACAATATTGAATTAGTAGGAGCTGTTGGCTCCATTGAGGATGGAGAAGCAGAGAGGTTTAGTCAAATTAGAGAACTGGGTGGGCAATCACCAACTATACGAAGTTTAACAAGAGCAAGTGCTGGATTCTGTGCCTGGGAAGGGGCAACCCTGGGCTAGGCATACAGATTAGGGGATGAGATGCTGGGGACCTTGATCAACAAGTTGAACATGAGTCAACAGTATGCGCAGGCAGCCAGGAAAGCTAACTATATGCTGGAATGCATCAGCACTGCTAGTTGGTTGAAGGAAGTGATTGTCCTGCTTTACGCTTTACTGGTGTGGCCTCACCTGTGTGCAGTTTGGGGATCAGAACAAAACAGAACAGAACAAAAAGTACATAAAACTATTGGAGAGCATCCAAAGGAGGGCTACAAAGATGGTGATGGGTGTGGTGGAGAAGCTGTGCCTTATGCTATGCTTCTTCAAGGTGTGTTGCCTGCTCTGAAACTATCTTTGCTAATCTCTTGAGTTGACTTCCTTCTAATGCACAGAAGTCCCATTGACTAGTCCAGTCAGAGTTTTCCTACTTCTTCCCTCTCTCCAATGAGGAGATGTCACTTTAGTAGATAAATTATGCTGCATTTATGATAAATTTAAGATATTACTTTCCTTTTTGTTCCATATCTTAGTAAATACTGATGGCGTGTTTGGAATTGACTACTTGAAATGATTTTATTTTAAACTCTTCAAATACATCCTTTTTAAAGGAGGCTGTGCTATAATGTACATCATTATTTATATTTAAACTTTTTCCATTTGGCGTGTATTACAGTGTTTGTGAACCGTGATTGAAAATGAAGTCACAATTTTTTTTGTATATAATCTTTTTCAGTGGAGAAACAAGATACAACAAAGACAAGATACTGCAAGGTTAGTATCAGCTGTTCTATTAGTTTCTGTGAGATTGAAAATTATTCTTCTCTGCAAAATGAGAAATCCCATGATCAACAACTGAACTGATAAATAAGAGGGCTGCTTCACAAGTAATGCCTCATATTTTGTTAAGTTGGCCCACAACATCAGAAGCAGATGTCACCGGTATGGCAGTAGAGGTTGAACCTTCCCAACAATATTCTGTTACACTTTGTTGCCTTGCAACAGACAGCAGCAGAGAAGAACAGCGTGTGACGTGGAAGCGTGTATAAAGAAAAGGCATGTAATAGAATTCTACTGTGTGGAAAAATGGTACCCACTGAAATTCATCAGTGCTTGCTGAACATTTATGGAAACCAGAAAGAGGACGTTAGCACAGTGAGGTGGTGGATGGTGTGTTTCAGCAGTGGCAACAGCAGTAGTGGGTCAGTCCACCTGTGCAGATTTTTCTGGGCACGGCATGCAGATTCTTGTTCATTGCTGGCAAAAATGCACAGTACACGGTGGTGACTATTTCAAAAAATGGAGTTTTGTCATTGAGAACTTGATCTATCAAATAGTGTTATTGTGCTCTTGGTATATGTTGTCATTTCCATGGAAATAAATAGGTATTACTTTCAGACAAACCTACATATTGTTACAGAGTAATATTGTGTACTTTAGGCTAGAAAAATACCTTTATTAATGGATCCAAATGTTAGCTTGATAGTTGTGGAAAATGATAAGTTTCTAATTCAGTCTCTGCAGAATGTCAGTGTAGTGTGGTGCATTTCTGGTTTTAACAGGGGTGTCACAGTTCTTTTGCTAAAATGCAGAAATAACTTACCTGTAATCAGATAAGAAAAATCTGTAGGTAAGAATGGCATGATATCCCAGACCACTGTTGTGAAGATTGTTTAAATGTACTTGAATTGTTCAGTTCTAGCTAGAACTCAGTTTTTATTCAAAGAAGTTATCTACATGGACTTTTGCAAAGCTTTTGATGTGGTTCTGCAGCACATCCTTATCTATAATTTGGGGAGATGGATGTTTGAAGGGTGGACTGTTCGGTGGGTGAGGAGTAGGTTGAATGGTCACAGACAGAAATTTGTGATCAACAGCTCTATGTCCAGGTGGAGGCCAGTCATGAACCTCTGGGTTCAATCTTGGGACCTCTCTCTAACATTCTTATCAGTTATGTAGATGGTGAGGTCGAGTGTACCCTCAGCAAAGCTGCAGACAGCACCAAGCTTAGTGGGCAGTCAGTATGACAGAAGGAAGGGATACCATCCAATGGGACCTAAACAAACTCATTAGGTGGGCCCATGTAATTATGATGAAGTTCAGCAAAGCCAAGTGCGAGACGTTATGCTTCAGCCAATCCCAGTTTTGTGTATGGGCTGGGAGAAGAACTCTTTCAGAGCAGCCTGCTGAGTGGAGGACTTAGGGATCCTGATAGATGAAAAACTGAATGTGAATTGGCAGTGTGTACTTGCAGCCTGGGAGGCTAACAGTACCCTGGGATGCATTAAAAGACAGGTGACCAGCAGGGCAAAGGAAGTGATTGTTGCTCTGTACTTTGACCTTGTGAAGCCCCGTAAGTGGATGCATGAGTACTGCGTTGTCACGGTTTGGACAGGGGCTTCCTGGCCTCTTTTATGCTCCCTTGTCCTTTTCAGGGAGACAAAAAAAGGAACAACCCAGTTAAGATAAGGAGAGCTAACTAATTTACTACAAATGGTAAAATAACGTAATGATATAAAAAGGGAATTATGGTAACATACAAATAGGAAAGGATTTCAGACAGTGCTGCTGTCTGCTCTGTCCAGAAAGAAAAAAGTTCTATCTTATCACTTGGAATGGAGAGTACTGGAGATTTTGGAGAACTGTAGTTTGTCTCTTCTCAGTATATTGTTTGTTTGTGGATGCCCCATCTCTGAAAATGTTCGAGGACAGGCTGGAGGGATCCTTGAGCAATGTTATCTAGTGTCTAATCTAACCATTGGCAAGCTGTGCCTGTGGCCAGAGGTGTTGCAACTAGATGATCTTTGAGGTTGCTTCCATCCCAAGCCGTTCTGTCATTCTATGAAATGTTGGCTTACCAAAGTTCTGATTCTCTCAGCACTGTCTTAGAGCATTTGGGACAGTTCATTTCATAAATTATGCTAGCTAAAAACCATATCTGCAAGGGTTACTTTTCAGCTAGATCAGTTATGTCAACATACTTTCTGAGCAACTGCATGAGCATTAGCATCAACACACAAGGTGGAGTAGAGCAGACAACAATTTGTATTTACATCAACACTAAAATTCTTGTGAAACTGTCTTTGGCAGAGTGAGGATATGCTGCTTTCCACATTACACAAAATCCCTTCTTGTTTCCTCATCTTCAGGGCATTATCATAGTTAGGGAATGCAGGGGAAATAGCCTATCATGTTTGTTAGGACTTTCCTCTCCTGGTGTGCATGTTTTTCCGTGTGTGTATTTTAGTATCAACAACAGTATCACAGTTGTATTGTCTTATTTGCAGTAACAACCATTTTCAGACTTTCAGTTCTGGGACTCCTCTAGTAGGGAGCCTAGCAGAGGCTAGAAAGGACAAGTGATCTGAAATGACTACACGTGTTTAGAAAATATAGATCTGATTCATGTTTAAGTTTTCATGTTTCTATTTCTCTTATATATATACATTAATATCATCAGTAAATGGTCCTTCTATCTTTTTAGCCTGTACTCCCTTTCTTTATACTACGTGACCAGAGGAATAGTCACTGCACTCCACTTGCAGAACGAGAGGTGTTTTACGTAGGTTTGTCTGAAAGTAATGACTCCGTTTTCATGGAAACAATAACAGATACTAAGAGCACAATAACACTATTTGATAGATCAAGTTCTCAATGACAAAACTCCATTTTTTGAAATAGTCACCACCGTGTACTGTGCATTTTTGCCAGCAATGAACAAGAATCTGCATGCTGTGCCCAGAAAAATCTGCACAGGTGGACTGACCCACTACTGCTGAAACACACCATCCACCACCTCACTGTGCTAACGTCCTCTTTCTGGTTTCCATAAATGTTCAGCAAGCACTGATGAATTTCAGTGGGTACCATTTTTCCACACAGTAGAATTCTATTACATGCCTTTTCTTTATACACGCTTCCACGTCACACGCTGTTCTTCTCTGCTGCTGTCTGTTGCAAGGCAACAAAGTGTAACAGAATATTGTTGGGAAGGTTCAACCTCTACTGCCATACCGGTGACATCTGCTTCTGATGTTGTGGGCCAACTTAACAAAATATGAGGCATTACTTGTGAAGCAGCCCTCTTATTATGCCTGAGTAGATTCTCTCAACTTTGCTTGCTAAACTGATAAATTATTTGAAATTTGTGTGTTTTAATGTTGATTTTTTTTGTTTGTTTGTTTTTTGTTTTATAGGTCAAGGAATAGATGAGCCACTCTCTCCAACTGGTTTCAGACAAGCCGATGCTGCTGGTTTATTTCTTAGTAATGTAAAGTTTACTCATGTCTTCTCAAGTGACCTCCTTCGAGCAAAGCAGGCAAGTGCTTTTACTGGAAACTGAATGTAATTATAAGCTTCACATTTTGCTGCTTATTTGCTGTTGCTGATACAGAAATAATAGCATGAAGGAAAGCACAGTTTTTTTTTTAATGGATTTAGAACTGAAGGTTGCGTTGTATAGAATTTCATAAGGCCTCTGTGTATATGGAAACTTCAGTCATACAGCACATTTAAGAGCTGATGAAGGCCAATTTACTGGATGTTGTGTTTTTCTTATAGATTTGCCATTATTTTGTATGTGCATATGCCTTCTTGGTAAAGGAGTAATTGCGATTTAAAGGTAACAGACCAAATTCAGTTTGTTTGTTTTGATGGAATAAAGCAAATTGGCATGGATATAGTTTGTACTGTTTTATGTACTGCAGCTGTTGTGTTTTTCAGAAGAATGCATACGAATTAAGCAAAAATCAAGTCTTGCGGTAAAGTCTGCACAAGTACCATTAAATGTGCAGAGACATTAGATTTTGGAAAGAACATAGAATTATATCTCTCACTTTGATATGCTATTTTAATAAATTAAAGAAGAAACACTTCCAGTTACTGGTTGGAATTTTGTGTGCAAGGTTATAAAATATGCAAAAAAAAAAAAAAAAAAAAAAAAAAAAAAAGGAAGAGAACAGAAGTTTTGTTTATAGTGGCATTGATCAACTAGCTGTTCTTTGAAGATTATATTTGCAATGCAAGCCCTATGATTCTTTCTGTCTCCTGTTACTGATTCTCTAATTTCAGGATATGTGAAAGGCTTCATGTGATTGAAACTACGAAATTCTTGAATGCGTTGTTTCCTTGCTTTTTTTTTTTGTTTTGTTTTTCTTCAGTTGTGATGCTTCAAGAGACTGTAAAGCCGTGTTGTAAACAATGAAGCCACGTTGTAAACGAGAGCAACAAAATTTAGGTTAAGATCTCTTTTATTTTTAACTTAGATTATCTTGTTCATCTGTTTTGTACCTCAATCCCACTTGTAGCAACATAATATAAGCAGAAAACAAGCTAGAAATGGTGGAGAGAAGTGAAATAATTAGATATTTTTAAATTGCATAATAATGATTACTTGACAGGTAACTTCCTTTAAATATGTGAATAGTGTTAATTACTTTTTAAAATATTAATAGTGGTTTTTAATATTTGTAAGACATTGTGTGCTTTGTGCCCACCTTAGGGAAATTCTTTTTGAAATGCTCAGCATTTTTAGAGTTAGTTTTGTAATTTTTTTTCTCTTAAGTTAGAGAAAGGCTTTTCCTTGAAAAGGATTTGCACTCTTTTAATATAGAAAATGTCCTTTGCGTAAAGGGAACATGTTTTACCATTCTTTAGAACATCTATTCAGACTTTGTAGAAGCTTTTTCAATGATGCGTAGAGCTATAGCTCCCATTTGTTTGGAACTTCATTCTTTGGCAGCTGCAGATCTCTGGAGAGTGTGCTTTACTACACTGTCACTTCACAGCTTAAATATGAGTTTGTAGTTTGCCTTGAAAAAGGGGGGGAGGAGTTTGCAGTTTGCCTTGAAAAAGGGGGAGAGTTCATCACTGTTAGTGATGAAGTTTAGTTTGTCTTGCAGTGTCTCCTTTATCATTTGTGGGTCAGGATATGCACTGGAACTAGGAGTTGCATGCTGTCCTCTGGATACTGCTTCTGCCTGCAACTGAACGCTGAAGCTTGAGCAGGACAGGAGAAAAGCAAGTAGGAAATTTAAAGAGAAGCATAGTAGCTGGACAGAAATTTTAGGAACTAATATAGATGTGCAAGTGAGCATGTACAGGACATGGAGAGAGTGGCTTTGCAGAGAGGTCTGTTTGAGAGAGCAAGAGTGAGGAGTCAAAGACTTAGCTCCAGAAATTAGCAGTATGGATGAGAGCTGGCAGACCTGGAATGTGAAAATAAGAACTGATCAGAAAGACTGGAATTTGGTATGAACAGAGCATATCTCCAGAAGAGCTATAAGATTGGCAGAATGCAATGCAGAAGTCTGCAGGAGAATATTGAGCTCATAGTTATGATCTTGCCACTGGGACAAAAACTCAGCAATAGTGAAAGTAGATTCAGGAGTGGAACAAGCTGGGTCTTGAAAAGGACAGTAGAAAAATTTTGAGTCCTTTTCATGTGTAATAAAATGGGTCTATTATCCCTGCTATTGCTGTGATGCTGTGAAAATTCAGAAATGTTTCTGAAACAGACTAGTGCTTAGGAATGGATGGTGTAAGAAAGATGAAAGAAAGTTAGTATTCAGAACAGATTTTCATTAAAGTAGATGGATCATGAGGCTTCATGTTTAATATTTACATTTCAGAATGAATTTGCGCACAGTAGATGAATGTAGTCTATTCTAGGTATTGAACAAATCTCCATTCTGGAGAAATTTCTGGATATAATCATAAATTAACTATACTATTCATACATACAAGGAAGTTGATTCAAGCATGTCTGTTATGATAGTGTTGTATGACAGAAATTTAAAGTTGAAGCATAAAGCCTTTCATAAGCGGTATGTGGAATAGTACATCTAATCTTAGTAGTACAACAAAGCTGATTATTATTTGACAGAATCCAGGGAGTCTTTTCAAAATAAGTTCGTTGGATGTCTAAGTAAATGTGGACATTTGCTAAAGACTTCTGGCTGTTATTACTAGTAAGTGCCTGTGTGAATCCATACTGCCTTCGTATTTTGTGGTACATATAAGAACAGGAGCATGTTAGTCATCCTTTAGTTCTCATTACTGCCTATGCAGCCAGAAGCATCCACCATACTAGAGCCCATGTTAAGCAATGCTTTTTACAAAATGGTATCAGAATTTCCTCTTGATCAGGTTTCTTTATTAGCCTTATTAGCCCTCCTTGCATCCTCAAAATCACATGCTTCTTTGGAAAAGAAATGTACAGCATAGAACTCAGGACATCCAGTCTGTTATTAAAAGTAAAGAAAACCCTTTTGGGCTTTTTCTGTCTCTTTTTGGCAATGTTATCAAATGGTAAGTGAATACAATAACCTGTTTTTTGTGGTGTTGTTTTTTTTTTTCTTTTCCCCAAGCTTATCAGCCAGTATATTGTCAGCAGATACTCTTTTTCCTCTTTAAATGCTTCAGTAGTATACAGGAGATTCAGATAGGATGTTAGGAAATATTTCTCCAAGAGAGTGGTCAGGTGCTGGAACAGGCTGCCCAGGGAGATGGTGGAGTCACCATCCCTGGAAGTATTCAGAAAACATTTAGATGTTGTACTGAGGGACATGATTCAGTGGGAAATACTATTGATGGTTGGACAGGATTATCTTAGAGGTCTTTTCCAACCTTGGTGATTCTATGATGCTATGATTTTTTTTTTTTTTTTTTTAGGTGTATTAAAAAGCTACTTGCCAGAAACTGATTTCATGTGTTAGATGCTGTATTTTTGTCAGTTGTAGTAACTTATCTGTTTTTAGAAATGCACTGATTGCAAGCACAACCCACATACAACATAGATCTTTCTGAAAGTAATGCCTTCTATTTATTTCCATGAAATAAAATATAAATATAAAATAAAATATATAAAAAATATAAATATATAAAATAAAATATATATAAATAAAAAATGAAAGATATATAATATAAATAATAATATATAATATAATATGTATATATAATATAAAAAAAATAAATTACAACAGATACAGAGAGCACAATAACAGAGCTATGAAACACTGTTTTTCAGCATAGTCACCCCTGTTAGCTACGTATTTTCTCCAGTGATGAACAAGAGCCTGCATGCCATTCTCATCAAAATCTGCATGGCTAACTTGTCTTTCACATCGCTGTTGCTGATGCATGAAACACACTGGCTACTGCCTACCTGTGCTAACATCCACTGCTTAGCTCTGTAAACACTCAGCAAGCATTGATAAATCATACTGCTGCTGTGGGTACTGAGTGTCTCCAATTGTTCTGGACATTGAATTGAGAAAGATCTTTCAGAAAATTGCATCTTTTCTCTTTTTATGACAGGTGATATATACAATTTTGACACTACTAGCTGGAAATTTTTAATCTTGTGTACTTGGGATGTTGGGTACTACTAATGTAAATCACACTGGATGTGGTGTTGTAATATAGTTCAGGCATTCCATGGTACAATAAAACAGTTCATTGATGTAACTGTATATTCACTTTTTAGACTGCTGCCACAATTATAGGAAAAAATAAGTTCTGCAAAGGTTTGGAAATCAAGTGTGATACAAGACTTCGAGAGAGAGTAAGTGCCATAAGAGTTTGCTTAAATATTGAATATTGAAAATGCAATTTGTTGCTGATCTTGATTTAGTAAGTGGTAGATTTAGCAGTGGAGAGCACTATATGATGTGTTTTTAGTCACTGAGAATTTATTTTTTACATTTGGTACTCAAAATTGTCTGATTTCAAAGGAGAAACAAAGTTTAGTGATAGTGGTGTAACTGTGATGCCTGAATTAAGTACTGTATGGCTTGCATGTGGAGAGAATTATTTTTGTTTCCTAGCCCTGTGTATGAAGTCGAAGATGTTCCCTCTGCCTCTCTTCTCTAGCCTGATAATACAACCTGATGTTAACTTTTTGTTTGTTTTTACCTTTTAATTAATTAAATTAAGTTAATGAATTTATATTAATAGATTAATTAATTCAATTTAAATGAAGACTAATGGAAAACTTTCTGCTCAAAATGGAACAGTCTTCTTTCCTGATTAGCCCCTTTGCTTCAATATAGGCATAATAGTAACGCCTGTCTGTTTTTAACTGTTTTAATCCGGATAAGTTGAGATGTTGGATGTTTTTGCTAGTATTAATCACCCTTCCTATGCTGCATTGACAGTATCAGCTGAATTCTAAATAAGGAAATGCTACAAAACCAGAAGTGGATGTCGTATTAGCAGCAAGCAACTAAGCGTATAAAGAGCAGAATGTGATCACAGCATTTCCCATTGTGATCCCTTTGTCGCAAATTCTGGTTCACCCCCTTAAATCAGCAAGTTACATCCCTTCCAATCTTCTTTAATGGCTTAATCACCTGGTATTTTCAAAAATATTTTGGGCTGTGGTACGGAGTTTTACAAGGTATAATCTTAACTTGTTTCTTTTTTTTCCTTACCTGGTGTTGGTACTATAATAGAAATTCCACTAAATAGAAATTCCACTAAAGTTTCTGCAGGCCACGGGTTTTAAGGCAACGTTGTAGATAACTGAAATTAAGTTTGAATAGCATGAAAAGAAGCTACGTTCTTTGAAAGAAATATGTCGTTGATTCTATTGAAAAAGCTTTATTCTCTTATGGCTTGCATTCATGCGAGAAATCCAGAAAAATCTTCAAGATTAAAATCTTCAGTAGTTTCTGAGAATTAATTTCTTTACATCTTTCTTAATTCTTAAACAGTGAATTTTACTTTAGGAAAAGGAACTGAGAACGTAAAGTAAATGTGCTTCAGTACAATTAAATTCAGAAGACTATAGTAATTTATTATGGCAGCAAACTGCACGTACATAGCATAGAAATCAGAAAAGTCTCAGCAATAAGTATGTGTCTGTTTCGCAGTCATCAGCATCTCAGTCTGTGAAATGTGCATAGCTGAGGGTTTTGACAGTAGAGCAATAAGATGGGGAGGTTGGACCTCTACTGCCATACCTTTGTGAATGGCAGCATGCATAATAAGAAATGTGGCATTTGTCATACTAAATTATACTGCTGTTGTGGGTACTAAGTGTCTCCAATGGTTCTGGACATTGAATTGAGAAAGATCTTTCAGAAAATTGCATATTTTCTCTTTTTATGACCTCACACAGGCGATATATACAATTTTGACACTACTAGCTGGAAATTTTTAGTCTTGGGATTAAACTTGGGATCTTGGATACTACTAATGTAAATCACACTGGATGTGGTGTTGTAATATAGTTTAGGCATCCCATGGCAAAAGTCCTTGTTTTTATCAAAGTCTTCATAACTATAGTTTTTTCAGTGGCTTCAGACCTTCCAAGAAAGGACCAAAGCTGTCTACTTGAATACATTTTTTTCATCTGTTAATGATAGTGAAGTATTAATCTTCAGTGGTAGAAATGTTAATCTGTATTGCTGTTTTTAAGAGATGTGCCTTGGAGATATGTTCGAGATAAAGAAATGATAATACACCTCCAACTAAATCTCTTCTAAACTACATTAGAGATTATAAATCTTAATTTATAATGTGACTACTGTTGATCCATAATGACTAGTTAATATATATGTGTTGTTTGTGGTGTTTCTCATATAAACGTTTCATTTGGAGGAATTATGAAAGAATGTGCCATTGAAAATCATTAATTCCATTAGTTCATTTGTGTATTGTTTTTAAGATCACTTTTGTCTTCTTTGTTTTCTGATAACTCTGTTCATAGAAGTAATGTACATCCTGAAAAAAGGGGGAATAGAATTCCTGCTCTCCTGTAGAAGTTACAGAGGTCTCTAGAGTGTATGGGAACTGCTGAGTCACGGCCTGAACCTCTGATTGATCA